AGAGGGTTTCGTAGTCTTTATCCGTTCAAAAGACTGTAAGGAGTGGGTTTTGGAAAGGATATGAGAGTTGATTCTGACTGTGAGGTTGAGAGATTGAGAGACGAGAGTTAAGTGATTCCTCTTCTAGTTCTCCCTGATACATAGTGAATTTTTCATATTGTTGTCCCGTGGACGTAGGTCGAGGTTGGTCGACCGAACCACGTAAATCACGATGTTCTTTCTTCTTGATTGTGGTTGTTTTATATCTTGTTGATTGTGGGTTGGCTTCCGAGTTGCGAAAATCGTAGTAGGTGGGGAGACTAAAATTCCCCAACAATTACTCCCATCCTACCATTTAAAATCTCACAAATCCATTTGACAATGGGTTATACCCGCATTTCCAAACCCATCAAGCCTTCTTCTTCAATGGTCATAACATCCCAACTCCCTCCCTCCCCCTCCCCGCTCCCCTTGCTTGAGAGTGGGGAAAAAAAAATTAAGAAATAAGGGATTTTCAGTTGCTTGGGAGCACTTGGGTAATTTCACATACTGGGTTAAAGCTTAACCCACTATAGTTAGATTATTAAAAGAATCCTTAGCAGAGGGATGAACTAGCAATACAAAACATAATTCGAGGGGCTTTTTAGCAAATGCTGAGGTGTGAGGAACTTTTTAGCAATAAAGGATGATTTAATGGAATAATATGCAATTATCCATTTAAACAAACATTTTGGTCTTTGGAGAAGAAGAGAGGTGAATTGGATTTGAGTTTTAATGAAGGAGTTTCGATCGAGACTCTTATCGGGTTTAAGTTTAAAGAGGTATAATTGTCCATTCATGAAGAAATATAAAATATCAGAATATTCCTCAACCATCATTGGGCCAATGAGCTAAAGAGACTACATCAACATACAGAGGCAATTTGGGGATTGATATCAAAATATGACTCACATCATCCAACAATATTGTGACAACTCATCTCATCTCATCTCCTATTATTTGATTTCATTCTTTTTTTTAGCCAACCAAACAACCATAAAACAATTATTTAAGGAAATAGGTTTTCTATTCCTTAATTTCCTTTTTTTTTTTTTTTAAACAAACAGCCCCTCAGCCGTCTCTGGGTGTTCTCTGCATACAGGAAACCGATACTCACACGTCTTTTCATTTGGTTCTGCGCCTTAGGATCTGGTTCACACCATTTTCAAGCTCGCATGGAGCAGGCGAGCAGCAAAGAACGAAGACGCCGAGGTGGTTGATGTCGAGGTGACTATATTCATCTTCAAAGGGGGAAAGAAAGGAAAAACCCCAATTTGATTTATGATACGTTAATTGGTGCCTTTACTGATCTTGTTTCTTCTTAATTAGCAAGTGGGTGCTGGAACATCGAAGAGGAATCGATCGACTTCTGGTAATTTTAACTTGATTAGTTGTTGCCTAGCTTATGAAGTCAGTATCTTGGTACTCTTTGTTGTCGTTGATGCGTTCTTTTTTTTTCCATTTAGTAATCAAAATTAGGATAAGCCCGGTTAACTATTCAAATGAACAGGTAACCTCTCAACTTGAAAAAAAAAAGTTTCCTTTAGTTTGGTTATGGTGGAACTACTAATAGAAATGTGCTTTTAAGCATTAGAATGACATTACAATAGAAGGAAATTGCACACTGATAAAGTAAAAGCCCTGACTATAACTTTTTAGAAAAAAATGAATGTAATTTGCTAGTGTTATTGTATTGGTTGATGACTGATGAGAGCTAGTTTTAGGTCTGATATCAATTGGAACCCCCACCTAGGATCTCAAAGGTTGTCATACTCATGGTTCAAATATGGACTTTTGAACCTTGATAAATCAATAAAAACTTTAGATACAGTTGATTCTAACTTGAAGTACTGGAAACTAGCTGCAGGAAAAATAAAGAGAGTTAATTGCAAATAAACCCCTCGTACTATAGCCCTAAGCCCTACAGGGGGTGCATCTCCAAGTGGGCGATAGTACATGGGGTCTGTCTGCAATTAACCCAAATAACTAACATTCTGTAAATTAGCAATTATCTGCTTCTTTCTTGGCTATGTTGCAAATTGGCTTCCTTTTTTTCTTTTGACTCTGATTGTCATATGGAGAATATGTAGGAAAATATAAATAAATAATTGGACAGAATAAGGGTCTTGTTATCCATTTGAAAAAGCTATTTTCAACTTATGCTTGGAGGACTTTTACTCTATTCATACTCAAACTTTTCGTAAGCAAGTAAACAGATGTGTAGTTGAGGAACCGGGAAAGTAAGCTTTTTAAGCTGTTTATACCTGGCGAGGTTGGAAGTAATGCTCAACTTATACTTGAAGGACATGTTGAAGTAGTATCATGGATTTAAGTTAATAAGAACAATGGACTTGTTTGCTGCCAAATCTATGTATTCAGTGTTCCCGTGAAATAAATTATTCCTCATGTGTCTGTTTACTCCATCTTTGTGAGAAAGCAAAATAATGTTGATTTGAGGAGTTGAAGAAGTAAGCTTTGTGGATTGTTTCTACTTGAAGAAGGGTGGATTGAAGTTGATGCTCACTTATTATGTTGCAACTTGTAATTTACATTATAAATGTATATGTTACATGAATACGGTATGGATGCGGGTGCAGGATACATGCGCGTGATGCATAAAATTTGTAGAACAGTAGGATGCAGAGACATGTCTATATTGTTTTTTCACACATGTTATGAGAAATAAATTTCTATAACATTCTCATGTTTCTTTTATTAAGTAGATTATAAATTGGAGAAATAAACAACCCTTTAAAATCATACTTTTGAATGGGCCAAGTCGTGTCGAACGAGTTGCATGAAATGGATGTGAAGTGTAAGATATACATCCAAGAAGTGTATGATGATTGTTTTAAAATAAAACATGCATGATGATTGTTTTAAAATAAAACATAGTATTATATAATTGAGTACACGTCTCAATAAATATATGCATATAATCAAGGAGTGCCCAAGGAGTGCCAAATCCGGACAGGCGCACGGGAGCTCAGACGAGGTGTTGGGCTAACTGAGAGTATCGTTTATTACATATTTGAAATAATAGTTTAATACCTATTGTGGAAGTGAATTACTTCAGTTACTGGGTTATTTGCATTTTTCTTGGTTGGAGTGCTTGTTTTCAGCATGTTTTATTTAATTTTAGGAGGACTTCTTTTTGGCCATAAAGTTGTTTCCCTGTTGATTTGTCATTTCACGTGTTTATGCATTCAGCTCATTCAAATGCTCTGAAGGTGAGCTGTGAACTTCTTCGGATCTTTGTCACTGGTACGTGGTAATTGAGGACAATTACTAAATATTGTTGAATCTCTGATGTGTCACTACCATTCACTTTTAAGTATCTTTCCCTTGATAGAGACTGTGCAACGTGCTGCAATAATTGCTGAGGCAGAGGGCACTACGAAAATTGAAGCCACCCATTTAGAGAGGATACTTCCCCAACTACTTCTAGATTTCTAGGATATTTCAATTATTCTACAGTGAAGGACGCAGTTTTTACATCTGCTTCATGTGATCTTTGTAAGTCACAGTATTTTCAGATCTTTAAATTTATTGTGATTTCATATAAATTTAGTTCTTATGGCTGAAACGCTCACTTATCCAGTGGCTTGGAAGTATATCAGTGGGAATCTTTGATTGACCTGGGTTGATGAAGTGGTTAAATTGATACTGGGTTTTGAACAATTATAACAGAGGACTCCTGAGAAGTGAAACTGAAGCATTCAGCTATATGAAGGATCAAGATATTGAAGTGGAGCCTTTACCTAATTTCACAAGAAACTATAGAATAGATTAAAAAGAGCCTGATCATATTTAGATTAAAAAGTGAATGACTTTTGAATGAAAACGTTTCTTTTCCAGTCATGGTTGCGACATGACAGTTGTGTGTTTCAGACCTTCACTGATTTATTTTTTGATATGAGATTTATTACATCATCGGTAGAAGTAATAGCCAATATCGTTTACTGTAATCATTTTATTGAGAGCCAACAACGAACTGTTAATTTAATCTAATGACTCTAGTCATATTTCCATCTCACGTTTCTATGATGCACCAGGACATATATTCGCACAAAAGCTTGCTTTCTTAAACGGAAACACAGGCTAATTTTATAACTTTAGATGAACATTTGTTTAGAATTTTTATTGGCATTATTGACTTATAAAACCTTCATTTGTGCACACAACATCTACGATATGCTACATTCTTATAGTATAGGAGTAAACTTATCGAGGTTATAGTAATTATCTCTTGTTCTCACAAATGATCAATTCTGCCTTTAAAAGATCTGTGCATTTTCTGTCACAATGACAACAACCCCACCCCACCCCACCCACCCCACCTCCACCCCCAGCACACCACACATTTATTGTGTATGTTTGTATGTGTCTGCAGTTGGGGTTTTTTTTCTTTTGTGGTGCTGGCTGGGGGTGGGATGGGGGGGGGGGGGGTTTGCATGTGCGTGGTATGAAGAGTGGCATGCATCCGTGTTTTGGAGATTTTATGTCCGTTGTGGTTTTAGGGATATAAAAAGGGTATTACCTTCCATAGGAAAACTTTTTGTATGCAAGTGAAAATGTAGATTGCTTTGTTCATTAAGAGTAGCTACAACTGCAGAAATGAAATGACTTGTTCATCAGAAATATTTTTGGAATCAAATGACAATAAATATACATTACCAATGCGACTAATGTTTCGTCTGAAATAAAACATAGATGGACTTCCCTTCGACTGGACTTCTTATTGAGAGTCACCAGATGTGCATTAACTAAATCATCATCAAAATGTAAAAGGGGTCTTTTCCTTGTATATAAAGGTTTAGCGTGTACAACCGAATTCCCTTTGTTTCTAGTATTGGCAATGAGTGTATGAATGAATTTAGTTCTCCATTCAATCAAAAATAGCTCATCTCAAGTCAAACCAAATCATAAAGAAAAAAAGACACCCACTCTTTAATGTTTTATCTGAGATAGCATGTGGTGAACTAATCTGTTGGGCTTTCAGCAGGATCATCATATGTACAGAAACAAGCAATCTTCAGAACAAGTATCATCTCTTCTTCAAATCCAATCCTCAGCAACGATGGATCAATGGCCTCACTGGGGTCTTGTGAACTGACCATCCTCCTTAACCACGGAACAAGGGACGGCTCATCTGTTGTCTGAAAGAACTTGTCACTTGGAAACATTCCAGTGACAAGAACTGCTAAGATGACTCCAAAACTATAGATATCACTCTTATCCGTGTAGGACAACGTATTGTAGCACTCTGGTGCGATGTACCCCAATGTCCCTGCCACACGTGCAGAACTTACCGCTCCACTGAATGCTTCCGGAACCACCTTTGCCAATCCGAAATCAGCAATTCTCGCATTTAGATTTTCATCGAGTAGAATGTTTGCAGGCTTCAAATCTCGATGGATAATCCTAGGGCGATGTAATATGTGAAGGTACTCGAGGCCAGCTGTAATCCCCTGCGCAATTTTAAGACGATTGAGCCAGTCCAGTTTCTCCCGTGCTTCGCTTCTAAGGACATCATGCAAGGATCCATTCGACATGAACTCATAGACGAGATAGTGATGTTCTTGATTTGGCACATGTGCGAGCAAGCGGACAAGATGAGGATGTCGCATTCGACCAACGGTCAGAATCTCTGATTTTATCTGTCGCATTTGGTGTTCAAGAAGCTTGCTCTCCACCTTGCAGAGGTTTGAAGTGTCCAGCATTGGCGAGAAGTGGACTGCTTTCTTGATCGCAACAGTAATAAACTGTCCACCTGTAAAGAGCTCCGCCTTGTAAACTTCACCGCATGCTCCACGCCCGATGACCTCAAGCGATGGACTTGGTTCACTATACAAGAAGAGTAAGTCGTTGATGGATCGGATTATTGGGCTGAAGAGTGTGGGGTTTGTGATTGGTTCTTTGTTAGGGTATGGCTTGATGTAGCGCTTGATGGTTAGGCGCCAGATGACGAAGGCGAATATGCCTAATGTGAACCCCACAGATAATGAAATGCTCCCACTGGCCCATAGGGGATGAGCAAAAAAGGCACGTATCGACGAGTTTTGTTTCTTGACGATATGTAGGTGGTGTTGCACGTGGTAGGATGGATCGAAGTCTCTGCTAAGCTTTTTGTTGTCGCCGAGGATGAAACTGCTCCTAGCTGTGGTACCTTCCCAACATATTACCAGAAAGAGGAGGATGAGGAGAGGAGGAAAATGGTTGGAGGCCATTCATGAAAGTTGCAACTTTTTGAAAATTTTGAAAGTTGGATGTGCTTCAGGATTTGCTTTGTTTTGGGAAATCGGTTTGGCGTGGGGGTAGGCGAAGTGTGAACTTCACATTAGCCAGTGTCCTTGGTCCACTATTTCATGGAAGAAGACTTTTGACTATTCAAAGTCTTAAGAGGGCATAAAGCCTTAATAATTTAGGCAATAGCAACTTAGATATACAAGGAGACTTGCTTATATGCAGTCCACACTTTGCCCATATATACGAGGACTATTCAAAGTCTTAGAGGGCATAAAGCCTTAATAATTTAGGCAATAGCAACTTAGATATACAAGGAGACTTGCTTATATGCAGTCCACACTTTGCACATATATACAAGGACTATTCAAAGTCTTAAGAGGGCGTAAAGCCTTAATAATTTAGGCAATAGCAACTTAGATATACAAGGAGACTTGCTTATATGCAGTCCACACTTTGCGCATATATACGAGGACTGTCATTGTCCTTGTTGGTTGCCTCAATTAGAACATCACCGTGGAGTACACGTAGAGGCAAAATTGCATAATTAAGCTAGATGAGGAAAAGTATGTTCTGATCATTTTCATTCTTTCCAAGAAATTGTGTAGAGCTTCCCTCCCTGTTAAATTAGTAGTGATTAAGAGAGGTGGTAATTTAGTATACTTTTCAGGTAATTCTTTACCGTGGGTTCTTTCTCCCCGAATTAAGCACAAACCAAAGAAATCGACCACAGTTTGATTGTGCTATATTTGCACGAGCTGACTCAAGACTAACATTATTTTTCCATGGGTAAAATCCCAGGAGCATCCATGTTGAGTTTGTCATGAAATGCACACGAATTAGCACGTTTGTTACCAAACTTTTCTTTGTAATGTTACTTCTGTGTTAAAAATTTGATTAAGCTTTCAAATGTGTAACTGAAGCGATCTTCAGTTAGACCGCTGTTTATTCTATCTCGTGTATTTAAATGGATTGCAGGATCGAATTCGGAGCAAACCACTTGCCCTTTGCCTTCAAGCAATGTTGATTTCTGCGGCGAGTACATTTTGGCTTCGACGGTGAGAATAAAATCCCCGAAATAGAAAATACTTCGTATAGCTATATATATCTGTTGCCTTTCTAGACTACAGAATGAAGCGAACTGTTCTCTTAATGTACTGCTCTGTTGCTGATGCTCCGATAATATATATTCCTTTTTTTAAATCTCTATTTATGTTTTAAATACTCAATAGGCAAGCTGATCACTGTATATATTTTAAGCGCTCATATTGCTTTGAATTTTTTTCTTCTTCTTCAAAGATAATGGTCAGTGAGGTATATGTGCAACTAAGATGAACATGACTGTGTTGGTTTGAATTGGTGAGGTGGATTATGGGCGACAGAAAAAGAAAAAACATTGTTTTGAGTTCGACTATTATGCAAATATACTACGATGAACTGCTCAAGTTCCTAATAGTTGTATGAGTTTACTAGGAGTAAAAGTTCTCTTATTAGAGCATCTCCAACAGCTTCCCCATCTTCTTGGTATTCTAAAATTTGGAGAATTTTGAGCTTTTTTTTGGTCCAACAGATTCCCCATCTCATTCCCTAAAATGGGGATAGGAGAGAAAAAATAGAGAGCCTTCCCCAAATCTGCAGCATTCTGCAAATATTTGGGGAAGCACTTTTTCACGTTCTTCTAGACTCAACCCACAAAAAACAACTCCATCTCCTCATTATAATAATAAATAATTTGGTCAAAATGGGGATTCTTCAAAATAATAAATAATTTATTATTTATTAGTCAAAGATGTAGAATATTTTTATTATTGTAATAAATGCATGATTCTTCAAAATGGGGAAGCTGTTGGAGTTGGAACAAAAATAATTTGGAGAATATGACATTTGATTCCCCATTTTGGAGAAATTTTTGGGGAAGCTGTTGGAGATGCTCTTAGATTGTTGAGATGTTTTGGATGGATGCTCGAGCGATATGAAGGAAGAAAAATGGGTTTGACAAGTCAATGTTTTCCCCTGCGCTAGGCTCGCGGATGCTTAATCCAAATAGATAAAGAGGCTAAATGCATGCACATAATTAAGTCTGATACATCTGCAATTTTTTTTTGTGGTATGTCAATTTATGTGGATATGGAATAGGTGGAATTTGACCGATCGGTGTCGTCAAACGTTTATTTATTTATCTTTTTTTAACACATTTGGAGAATAATGTTTATCGACCAATCGTCAATCAGTTGCGGGCGGGAAAAACTTAATTTGGAAATGGTAATTGGGGTATCATATTTTAAAGGCTAAATAGCACTTAAATACCTAAATATCTTATAGTTTCACTTCTTGAGCACTTATATATCCTCACAGTTGTACTTTGTATGATTTATGTACCCTTAGTTGGTCAAAATTGGCACTTTAATACCTTATATTTTGCAAACGTGAAAATTATTATTCGAAAGTTCCCATATAACATTCATATGTTAATTTCGGAGCTTTCTAACCATCAATATTTATTAAATTACTATTAAACCAACCCAAATTCTAATTTTAAATGCATCATAAATCTATTTAAAAAATATAATTTTAAAAGTTTTAACAATGAATTCAACAAAATTAATAGATAAATAACTATAAGAATAGCATATAAATATTATATGGGGACTTTTGAATAAAAATTGTCACGTTTGCAAAACATAGGGTATCAATATGCCAACTTTGACCAACTCAGGGTATATAAATGCTACAAAATACAACTGAGGGTATATAAGTGCTAATAGTGTGAAACTATAAGGTATTTAAGTGCCATTTAGCCTATTTTCAAAATAGAACTTTGGAATATTAAAGTGAAAAGTATAAAACTTCAGGACATCCGAGTGCAAGTAACCCTTTTTTTTTATGCTCCAATAATATCTAACCACATCTATTACCTATTACTATTATGCAAGATTTTTTTTTTTTTTTTGGTGTTTTACATCTATGTTAATGTTAGTCGCCAATAAAAAAATTTCAAGTATATCCCAAAAATTATACACATAACTTTCAAAAATTTAGAATTTCGCAGATGGACAAGTTGGGAAAACAAAAGTAACAATCTAATTCATAACTACCTTCACTGATTAGTAGCTGACAAACCATCCGTTATTATTTCATAATAACTATCCCCGATTTTTCACAATCATAGATACTTTCCAATTTATCCTCTCCCTTGCCATTAACTCATGCAAGCTGAATGGACCCTCTATTGTTATGATGAAAGTGCAAACAGTGTGGGTTAAGTTCACTAACATTAGAGTCGGCTAGAATTCAAGCGCATGGTTAATTTTTTTTGTTAATACGACTTTTTACGACTCAGCCTGAAACCGAATTCAAGACGGTGGTAGCCATATCAGAATCTCTCAATCGTCCAGATCAACTTGCGGTGCATGATAAATCTGTTAGTTTTAAGTAGTACTTAGTTGCCTTCTTGGTGGTGCTAAATCTGGTTAATGATCCAACTGGATTTATCTTCATGAATCTCATAATACCACTAACGCACCCACCCATCTTGAGAAGAGTTTAGTATATCATCTAATAACTATTGGATACACACACTACTATGCCATATATCGTCTAATAACTAGGATACAGTACTATGCCATAAAAAATTCCATAATTTAACCACAACCACTAAAAATGTTGTGCAACTCCATAGGATATCAAATCAAAGAGAAGGGAAGGGTGTATATAATTTATACATCTTTGCTAGAGGATATCACGGTCCCCTATCTATCTCTAGTACTCACCCAAAGCAACAAGCGAAGTATCCTTCCAAAATTCTTTACCGTACTACAAGCAAAAACTCATACGAGGACTGCTACTTCAAAATTAGAAAAGATTGTTAATAATCTGCGCATAGCACAGGAAACTTATTTCGCCCAACATGAACCCAAGCATATACTTTTTTTTCCTATAAATGGATAATGATGCAAATTAAGTAGCATCCCGATATTCTTGACCACACTACAAGCAAAAACTGATGCCGGGACTTGTTACTTTAGATGCTTATTTCGCTTAACATGTACCCAAGCATACTTTTATATTCCTATAAATGCACAATGATGGGGGGGAAATTTTATAGGAATAGGCCTTTCTCACTGTAAAGAGGAAGCTAGTGAGCCCCATTATTAGGGTATCATGAACATCTCATATGCCGAAAAAAAGCCTAAAGACAGTTCTCGGTCTCAAGCAAGGTAGTCAGTTCATTTGAGCTTTATTCCACGCTCTTCTTAAGCTTCTCTCCCTATATATACACACAACAACAGCAGGTTCTTAGCAATTGCTACAAGTGATCATACAAGCTTTGGTTAAAATGGCAGCAGCAGCAGCAGCACAAAAGATGCTCCGTAAGAGCGAACGCCACCTCTTCTCGTCATCAGATGACGCAGCTGTGCTGAAACAAATCCTGGCGACCCACTCTCCCGATGGCCTTGATGTTGATGTCAGGCCCATATTGCACGTAGTCGAGGAAGTCATGCGAAGATCTACGCCAACCGTTATAGTGGTATTTCGCGCAATATAACTCCTTTTTCCTGCAATAGTATGGTCATCTCATAAGTATTTCATACAAACTTCAAAAAAACTTACCTTCCGTTTGGCTGATTTTGAGATAGCTCCCTGAACCTTAAAAATGGCACTTAACCCCCCCTTCAATTTCGCCAGATAACTCCCTAACTAACACCATGACGTCTGACTGTGCACGTGAAAGTCAGGTGCATCCAATTGAGTAAAATGTCTCTATTGGAATTAATTTAAGGGTTAAATTTTATACGTAAACATTCTGGCAGATTTCCGAAACACCCCAAACTTAAGAGGGATAAGTGACATTTTAAGACTTTAGGTTGGTAATCTCAAAATGAGCCAAACTTAAGGGGATTTTGAGAACTTTATACCCTCACCCCGTTTTAATCTGTTGCAGAAAATCATGATATATGTCGTACGCATCATTTGTACACATTTAAAACAATTAATAAAATAAATTCTCATGAGAATAAGGGATTATTCTCTGTTTTTGAGCAAGAAAAATTTAAGAAACGATGCATGAGATACTTTTATCTTTCAACTCCATTGTATTCTGCAGCAGATTTTGAGTTATGTTTATTTTGCAGACACCTGAATCGATTGAGCCTCAACTTGAAGTCTTGGATGAGAAGATGCATTATGCAGCGATGGGTGGGGTCCTGGAGTCACTTGCATACACTATCCACAAAATTTACTGCGAGGTCAGTCACCAAAAGATCTTGATAATAGTCATTCATCCATAATTTTCACTAAGGGGCTGTTTGTTTGCAAAAATGGGAAGGGGAAAGCCTGCCAAATCTGACAAAAACTGTCAGTTTTGGCAGGCTTTCTTGCAAAAACGCTTCTAAAAGAGGCGTTTTTGCAAGAAAGCCTGTCAAAACTGACAGTTTTTGTCAGATTTGGCAGCTTTCCTCTAACTTTCTCCTTCAAAAAAAATGAAACAAACGGGCCCTAAGTTTGATAGAAATTGAATAAGGCTACTTAAATGAATGGGTTAATTTCACAACCCCCCGCGGGGGTGGGGTGGGGGAAGGGGGCTTTGTATAGAATCTCGATAAACTTTTTTTTTTAATCTTGCATAACCCCCTAAACTTCGGGGTGTCTCACAGCACACCCTGAACTTTAAACATTTCTCACTAGACCCCATACCTATAATTTGCAAATAACTAACAATTCTCGAGAGAGAAACCCTCTATTTAAGAGAGGGGGGGTGTGTTGCCTGCAAATGGGAAATTGACAAATTTGGATTTTCTTCTTCTTTTTCCTTCTCTCAAGGACATTTTAATTATTTACAAATTACAGGTAGGGGTGTCCGGTGAGAAAAGTTTAAAGTTCAGTGGGGCTATGTGAGGGATTATGTGATATAAAAAAGTTCAGGGGGTTATATGCAACACCTCTCAAAGTTCAAGGGATTTTGTGAACTTTTTTTTATCTCACATAACCCCCCGAACTTTTTTATTGTATGTGTAAGAAAGTTTGGTTAATCAAATATCATTGTTACAGATAGCGTACAGAGCCGGCGGTGGAGATGCCCACACAACAACTATGCACGTACTCAATTCACTATCAACTTATACCTGGGATGCCAAAGTAGTCCTAGCATTGGCTGCCTTTGCTGTAGGCTATGGCGAGTTTTGGCTGACAGCTCAGCTTCACACTGTGCATCCCCTTGCTAGATCATTAGCGCAACTGAAGCAACTCCCTGATATTCTCGAGCACACTGATGCTCTCAGACCCCGGTTTGATGCTGTCAACAATCTCATCCACGCCATGCTCGATGTTGCCAAGTGCATCGTTGAGTTCAAGGAGCTCCCTTCCGAGTATATTACACTTGATTCTCATGACATGAACATGGCCATGGCTCATATCCCGACAGCTGTCTATTGGATCATTAGAAGTATTATTGCATGTTCTTCGCAGATCATTGGGCTAATTGGCCTTGGACATGAGTAAGTTCTGGCGTATTCTTGCGTGGGGTTTTACGGATATTAGTTCTTAAATCATTGAAATTGATAATAGGGTCCCTTATTCTTACAAGTTGTTTGAAACTAAACCCTCGTTGCTACTTTTACTCTTTGATTGGAGGGCTTTAATTTCAAAATAACTTAAGAATTAGGGGACCTAATAGCAATTTCAATGAACTAATTTCAAAATATGAAAGATATGAGGAACTTATATTTGGGGGGAAACCCCCTATTACGAATGTACATGACTAATTAAGAGCTACCACTATAGGAATGACTTCAGTAACACAATATGAACTTCGTAATTTGTTTATTGATTCAGGTACATCAGCTCCACGACAGAGGCATGGGAGCTGTCGAGTTTAGCCCATAAACTAAGAAACATGCATGGCCATCTTATGAAGCAACTTGCTCTGTGCCATCAACACATTGGTAAGTATGAAGAATCTCAAAGAACCCGTGTATATAAACGGAAAGCTCTTTTCCAAATTTCTAACTAAGCGACAGAGATCCGAAGTAGAGTAACACTTCACATAATTACCTAAAAGATCATCAGTATGCTGAAACATACAAATATCTGACACTAAAAGGTGGATCATGGAAACTTACATGTCTGTCATATCATCATTCTCACATTTAGCTACTTGTATTTCGTGAAACCAGCATATTCCTAAAAAAAGAAAAAGAACAAAAAAGACAACATGAAAGGTTGCATTCCGAAATTGTACAGACCATTGAGAAAATAGTAGCTATAAAGATCCGTAACTCAAATTCCCAGTAACTTCCAGTATATCTGTGGTAAAATGGTTCGTATCCAAGCATATTATAATAGTTGGTATATACTATGGTATAATCTGATTACTTTAGATACAATTTAATACAATGATTAATTCCACGTAAAAATTTTGTGATGCAGCTGAGAGAAGGCATATTGAAGCCTATGATACGCTTGTTAGACTCTTTGAGACACTCCACCTTGACAATATGAAGATCCTCAAGGCTATGATCCATTCCAAGGATGACCTCCCTCTTATTGATGGTCAAACTAAGAGAAGAGTCGGTGTTGATGTCCTAAGAAGAAAAATCGTCATGTTGTTTATTTCTGACATTGACATCAGCCCCGAGGAGCTCTTCGTACTCATACAACTATACAATGATACCCACCAAGGAAAGATCGAGAGGAATTACGAGATTGTATGGTTGCCAATTATTGATAAGAATCTACCATGGCTTCCTGAAAAAGAGGAGGCATTTGATCGATTGGCATCTACAATGCCATGGTATTCACTCCATCATCCTTCTCTGCTAGACCCAGCAGTGATCAAGTATATAAGGGAAGTATGGAAATTTGAAAAGAGGCCTATGCTGGTTGTGTTGGATCCTCAAGGAAAAGTTGTATCCCCTAATGCACTTCACATGATGTGGATTTGGGGGAGTTTGGCCTTTCCTTTCACTAGCAATAGGGAAGAAGCTCTCTGGAGGGAGGAGACATGGAGACTTGAGTTCTTGGTGGATGAGATTGATCCTATGATACTCAATTGGGTACGTGACTATTACGGTATAATTTGCAGAGTTACTTGCAGATGCACCCCCTATACTATGGGTGTGTAGCTAATATCACCGCTGTCTATTTTATTGGCACGCATATTGCTTAGCCCTTTGGTCACAATTATTTTCCTGTTAGTTTCTAAACTCGCGTGGGAATCTTGTGAAAATGTTCTTGGCGAATGTCAAATTTAGAGCCATGAGATTCGCATGGGAGTTTGAAAACTAATGGGAAAAATGTCTTCCCAGAGCTAGAAAAATATGTGGTAATAAAATAGAACATAAAGCGATAGGTACAAAACCTGCATTTTCAGTAACGCTAATTTATATCTATAGCACTTCCACATCTAGATAGTTCAGCTTTCTTAATTTCTCTCCATTACCATAGAAACACTTTATTCATATCTAGATAGATCACCTTTTTTGAATCTCTCTTCATACCCATAGATTATTTGCTCAGTAACCTTGATAGTTTCTTAGCTTCGTGTTAATAAAAATGGAAAAAAGTGTGAAGCTTTACTCAAAGAAAGTACACCAGAGAAATAAAAAGCATGAAAGGCTTTGCCTCATAGTGGGGTAAGTTATTCCAATCTATACTGAATTTTCGCTTTCCCTATCATGCCATAGTGATACGCAGGAAAATATTTACTCTCATCATTTCTTTCTCACACAGACAACTAGGTTATGGGTTGATGGGACAATTTAGTGTTGCAGACAAAGCATACTTCAGTTTATAATCGTACAGAATCTATCAGAGCACCATTCACAAGAAAGTTTCAAAAACATCCATTGCACTTGATTGTTAGAAAAAGAAATTGAAAATTCACTGAGTTAATCAATCTACTCGAAACTTGATTGACAGAAACTTCTAAACCATTTTTAGCTCACTGCTTTCAGATTCCCCGCTACAAAAATTTAAACACACCAGTTATTTCTGCAGCAAGATATATCTTTATGACACAGAGTTAATGGGAACGTGGCTAGTTCATAGACAAAAGCTTAATGAGCATTGAAATGGACAATGTAATGGGATCGGAGATGCTATTTCAGAAAACATTAAAAATACTAGAGACAATTATTTAGAGAAATGAAAACTTAGTAAATCAATCTGTGAAAGTTTCCTAGTTGACATCTATATATATAAATCAGAAGATTAATCTTATATACAACTTCTCGAAGAGCAGAATAGTAGAAGGAAAAAAGAACAATACCTGATATAAAAAATTTGGACCTGCACCTTCTGGGGAACTCAGAGACCACTTATGCTTCTGAAAAGAGGGAGAATACTCCCAGAGCACAATGTGCAATATTTCAAAGTTCTGCTAAGAAGAATATAAAAAATAAAAAACTGAAGCTAGCACCACAGCTGCAGTTATTATGAACCTCCTAAAAAACTCTCAAATCGACGTATATCAAATTGTTCATATGAACTACTTAATTCTCTATCCATCTAGAAACTTCACTGATTGATGAATGCATAAGACAGGTGTGAATCACCGAGACAGAATACGTTATAAGAAGTTATTGATTTAGAAAAACAAAAATCTGTTCAAAGTACAAGTTCACTAATTAAATCCATTAGATTTTTTCTTTTCTAACAGATAAAAGAAGATCGTCATGTTTGCCTCTACGGAGGAGAAGACATTGACTGGATCAGGCGGTTCACAACGACTCTTCGTCGTGTGACTCAAGAGGCCAGAATTCCCTTAGAGATGGTCTATGTTGGCAAAAGCAATCCAAAGGAACGCGTAAAAAAAGCCATTGCTGCAATCGCCACCGAAAAACTAAGCGGGTACTGGCAAGACCCAGCCATGGTGTGGTTCTTCTGGGTCAGACTAGAGAGCATGCTGCACTCAAAGATGCAACATGGAAAGAGCATCGAGAATGACCCGATCATGCAAGAAGTCATGACTATGCTAAGCTTTGATGGCAGTGATGAAGGATGGGCAGTTATTAGCAGAGGATCAGTTGAAATGGTGAAGGCACACGGAAAGAAAATAGTTGACTGCCTTCTGCAGTTTGATACATGGAGGGAATATGTGCAGCAAGATGGATTTGTTCCGGCACTTACAAATGCATTGGTGCCTTTTCATACGCATGAGCATTGTACACGACTCATATTGCCAGGGGAAACAGGAAATATTAAGGAGCAAGTGGTGTGTGCAGAGTGTAAGAAGCCAATGGAGAAATTTGTTCTCTACCGCTGCTGCAATGACTAATTAAAATTACAAGTACCTGGTGAGGGGTGGTGAAGGAGAAATAGAACATAACAGAGCTTGCAGTTGCAGGGTTTCTGTGGTAGCAATAATTAAGTGTGATGATCTTTCCGATTTTCGTTACGAGAGTGATATTATGTTTGTATTTGTCAACCTGCTTTGCAGATTCACATTTGACATTAAATTTCAGTACTGTTTGTGTGTGTCACCTCTGTAGTTGGAGTATAATATTTATGCAGTTACAAGTAAATAAAGTGTTTCATTATCATTTGTCATGTTGCATGGATGCAAATAACCAATTTAAAAAATATACCGTGCTATATTACAAAGTAAATATGTAAAATTCAGAGATGTAAGGAAAGTCTAATCTACCGTCTGCTCTTGTTGGGTTGACCTCAGCTTATACAACATTCAAGGCTGAAGTCTTCTAATTGGTTACTTCAGTATCATTCCTAGCAATGGAGATTTAAAAAAAAAGCATGAAGACAAGGATACTCGTGAATTTGAATTGGCAGATAGCTCAAAGTTTACTTGTACGGGCATTTGGTGGCCTTATTTCACAAACAAATTCACATGTTTTGGCATTTGTTCGACATATTAGCTGCAGCTTGATCAATATCAAATGGTTAGTCTACTTGCTATTGTTGGTCGACATAATCAAAAATTGCTTTGAACTGCATCCAGCATCAAACTAAAACAGGCACAATTATATAAAATGACTAGATGTTACTGCAACCACTAAACTGAATGATATCATAATATTAAGAGGTGTTGGTTAAAAACAAGTTTGGCTGTCTTTTGATCTCTTGTTAACATTTTTCTCTTTGTTCATAAAATCAGGGAACATGGGCTGATTCCTTTCATATTGTTCCAGTGAAATGGAAGGACAATGAACAAAGATATCCTTTGTAACTTCCCCACAAATTAACGGATCAAATAGGAGATATACACACATAGGTAAATATCATCCACTTATTTTAAGTTGGAAGGCCATAAGAGCAAATTCAGAAAGAGAAAATTCCTTTCACATTAAAACTTCAGTGTTTAAGGCCTCAGAAATATATCCAAAAAAAAAAGCTTGTTCAGTCCTTATGATCCTCAATTTTGCTGTCATTATCAAAAAGCATATTTGCTACAGTTCAACTGCTGATACAGCTTATTGCTATAATAGTTGTGATATTGTTCACAAAGTAAATTATTACCCAGAGAGCCACTTTTGTTCAGCCTTTTGGCTATACACGGTTAGTCTCGAAAGTGTCTGATACATACTGGATTATAACACTCGTGTAGCATTACTTGACAGATATCAGGCACTCCAGGGCCATGTTGAAGTAAGAAACAAATTGCATGCTAGGTAAAGTGGAACCACACCCCCATTTTAGCTGACATAACGACTCCTAAGACAAATATACCTAGTTAGCATGACCTAAACCTTGCAAGCATATGAGAGCTTCCCAAACTTGTTTTAGATCAGGTAATAGATTTTGTTTGATCTAGTTACTTTATCTATGAATTTAAGTTGTCGAGTTTTCTTTAAAATGTCTTGATGTGAATTGTTTGTAGACAAATGCACATAATCATGTTGCGCTATCCTCTTAACTGATATGCTAAAGATTTGCCTAGGTGATAAGAAATTAAGTTCATTTAAAATGCTAGTGGAAAGAGAATAAAAGGAATCAGCAGTAAACTCCTTCTGCTAAGCAAATCCATCAACGCTATGCGTTACATTGATGGCACAGGGTGCAATGATAAGTAAATCAAGGGTCTTTGGTCCCCAATATTTGTGATATTCGCTTTGTTGTTGTTGTTAGTACTGTTGTTTTAGTAATTATTCCCACCTAAACACATCTAAGTACCTCCAAATCTTATTAACTATTACGAGGAAGATTCTGTGCTACTTGATAATCTTCTACTTATCTTGAGATATCCATTGGAATATGGGGAAACAAGGTGCCAGACTCAAATAATAATTCAACAAGGGAGGAAATGACAGAGGTGTCTATAAAGAAAAATAATTACTGTAGAAGTTTCAGTGAAAACATCTTCAGTAATTTATACTAAGTCGAAATACAGACATTAACATTTAGAATCAAATAATTTTTTTCTAATAAAGCTCACAATTTACACACCAAAAACTCAACCCTTCAGCCATGGGTAATGTGAAATCAGGGTAACAAGCATATATTACAGGTAATTAATTTTTATTTGAAATAACAATGATGTAAAATAGTGGGCTGAAACACATGAAAACTAAAGAAAATAGGTTAAAAAGGTTACTTTTCATACACTGTGTGTCCGTACTTGTTCAACACTTAACTAAACAATCTTGAGTAAACGCCTATCTGCCTAAACTAAATGAATGAGCTTGGGCATAACTAGCCTGACTAGGTTAGCGCTCAAGCTCGACTCATTAGAGGATCATCTAGGCTAGATTATGCATGGATTACGCTGATCTCAAGGACTTAACAAGTAAGGAAATAATAAGTTTGACTTTAGTTTGATATTTTAATTTGATCACAAGCCTAGTACAGTACTATTTCTTTCCTAAGTCTTCTCACATTTCTAGCAGTGGCCACTGCCAGAAATGAAACTCCAGGTCCTAGGAAATTCATTAAGCTCCTTGCAAAATCATTCAACATATGGTCTAGAAGCGCTGATTTTAAAAACAGATTCCTCTAAAGGTCCCAACATGGAGATTCTTTTATCTAGGAAAATTGCAAAAATCAAATATAATAGTTGTTCACGCAAAAAATTCATTGAAGAAATTTTGTCACAATAGATATATATATGACTCAGGTTGCTGGTTCGAGGATTTATTTGAGGCGTCTCCTCGAAAAACTTCCCGTTTTCACCAGTCAAACATAAGGTATATATAAAAGATCTGATGAATCTGATCAAACAGACAATTAGTTGGGAAGGGAAAAGCTACGTTCAGGAATAGTTTGAGATCCATAGGAATCTAACCTAAATGATACAAGATGAATTTTGCAAAAAATTGCAAATTCTTGGAACAGGACGTTCAGTTTATAAAAGCCTCTTATCTTTCAATTGCAAAAGCTTTTATAGCCTATTGTATATCAATACAGAGATCACACTTGTTGGAGGAGTCCCTACATTGACTTTCTATGAATCGATTCCTAAAGAAGATACAAAATCGGTAATAACCGTAGGAAAAATAATGGAAAGTTTAGTTATTCTTGTAAGAAACAAAATGGTCCCTGTCTCAAGTTTGGTGATCTTGGTCTACTCAAGGTCGAAAATCTCCTCTGTTCTAGTGCAACAAAAGAAAAACTGCTACTTCATAGGAGCCATCAGATCTAAAGCTTGTATTTCAATTAAACTAAATTTAACCGGGAACTCTGAACCTAGAAGATGGAAGTTCTACCCTTTTAGCACATCCCTTGCCAATAATTTTTTTATTTCTATTCCAAAATAAAGTTTACAAATAATGAAAACAAGATAAAAACATGTTCAAAGTTTCTACAGTGTTGAAAGAATTTAGCTTGCAATAAGAACTAATTTCAGGTAATGAACCACAAATAGGATACCTGCGGGAAAAAAATTGTCACATGGAGCAAAATATCAATAAAATAATGCATCTCTGAATTTCTTTTTTTTTCCTCCCTTGATAGTGACAGGCAATAAGTATAAAACTAAAAGATCAACTACAAAATTTTATGACAACTATGAAAATGAGTTAGCCTTTCAACTTCCTACACATTGATACAGGTAATGCTTCTTCAAAGGACCACCACAATTCTTGCAAGCAATACTTCTTTCATCCATATTCTCAACATATGGAAAGATACTATAGTAACTACAGTGGTCTATACTTGGAGAAGCATCAAGATGTTTTCTTACTGCACCCAGGAAGCCAAATTTATTAACCTTTTGTCCCCATACATGAAAAAGAGAAAGGCATTCAGAAACTTCCATTCCAGAAAGTCGCAAAATTTCATTTCTGGCACCCTCGCTTATAAGCAGGAAACCTTTATTTTCAACGTCAAGACTACATAAAGAGGTTGCTTCTCTCATAATGACATCAGTTTCAAAAGGAAATCCAAGACGTGACTTTGATTTTCTAATGCTCTCCAAACGTAACCAAAATATACAAATCTTAATGTGAGACAGGTACCTGCTAAGCCTTTCTGTGGTTACAGTTGCCAAAACTTCTTTTGATTGTTCGAGATTGTTGCTTCCTATATATATTAACTCTAAGGACAACCCAGCCTCTTCGATGACTTTCACCTTGTTCGTGAATTCTCGTACCCACCCAATATCATGGCTTCCATAAAGCAAAATGGTTCTTCCATCCTCTATCTGTTAATAGAGTTATAATGCAATAGTGTGTGTTAATAAAAGAATATCGTTAAATGTGTAAAACGAATAACAGGAAAGGTCAGAGTACATCCATCAAAAATCAAGTGAATTATAAGCCATACAGAAGTCACATTAAAATTCTTGCATTACATGTAAATTGAAGAAATCTTGTATGTTCATAACAGCTTGATGTTATACATAAGGTAGCTCAAAAGAGGAAGTTTTCCATTAATTTTCTTATTATCCTTTTAGAAATGTTCCTTCACAAGTATCTAGGTAATGAATACAGCTCCTCCTTGCAAACATTTTACGCTACCTCTTCATCTATACCTATTTCATAGTCTAAGGCAACCTAGAGGCTGGCTTCTGCGTTTCACTGTACGTATATGCATATGTACATATGATTGTATGTACACATGTACATACATATATATGTTTCTATGTATATACACAAGTACATATGTACATATGTATGTATGCATGTACCTTTTCATGTGTAAATGTTCTGTATGTATCCACAATATTCAAATTCCTTCATTAGTAATTGTGACTAATCCGACACTGACTCAAACCTTAAATTTTGCGAAAGACATTCTATGCATCGAACATCCTTTCAATTTGTTGGGCTCTTCATAGATGTGCAAGATAAACATAGTTTATGTAAAAGAGAGGTGCACTTTGGGAAGAAAGAGAAAGTTTTGGTTTCTCGTAGGACTCTGTTGGTGGACACGGAGGAAGAAATTAAGGGCTATGTGGATACGACTATTATGAGGTTGTACTGGTGTTGACTACATGGATACTTATTCGGGCTCACTTCTTGCATAGAGCTGGACACTTCTCAAATATATAGTATATATGATAGATGTTGTGCTTATGATATAGCGTTGGACATTGCTCGAATAGAAGAGTAGGATTCATGTAGCCATCCCCAAAAAGTTGGGTTTAAGGCTGTAGTTTGTTTTGTCTCTGTTTTGGTTTACAAACCAATCAAGTGTCATATTTTGGACTATGGTACACTACAATACTTGACCGACCTGTTATCCAAGAAATATGAACAAAAACATGACCATCTCTTAATAAATAATAATGCACAAGGTTCTACTGAAAAGACTAAATTACCATATTGGTATTATTTATTGGTATTATTAGTAGTGCCATATTTCCCATATGGTTTTTTTCACTTGCCATAGTATGGTATTAATATCAGCATTTGATGTCAATTTGGTATTATTTTATACAGGAAAAATAACTAGGTATTTTTAATAGTAGAAAAAAATAACCAGATTGGTATTAATTTTGATATTAATACCACAATGTTGCAAGTGAAAGGAAAAAATAACGAATGAAAAAGGGTCCTCCTAAAAACACCAATTTGGTAAGTTAACCTTAGTGAAAATATCATTATGTAATGTTTTTGGTGCAAATTTACAACAACAAAGCCTTTATCACAAATATTTAGGGTCGACCACATGAATCCTATTCTTCAATTCCGTTCTATTATAGGTCATCTCCTCCATTAAATTAACCATTATCATATCCTTTTTAATTGCTCCCAACCAAGTTCTTTTAGATCTACCTCTAGATCTATTTATATCATTAACTACTATATTATCATATTTCTTAACTAGTGCACTAAGGGGTCTCCGTTGTACATGATCAAACCATCTTAGTCTATTCTCTCTCATTTTATCCTCGATTGGAGTAGCCCCTAATTTACTACGAATACACTCATGTCTTATCCTATTTTTTAGTGTACACCCGCAAGACCATCATAACATTCTCACAGCTGCTACGTTGATTGTTTGTACTCTTTGTTTCTTAGTTGCCCAATATTCCAAACCATAAAGCATTGTTGGTTTTATAACTATCCTATAAAAATTTTCTTTTAATCTCATAAGTATTCTACGATCACATAAGACTCCCGAAACACTCCTCCACTTTGACCACGATGGGCAACATCATCCTCAATCTCACGTCCTCAATCTCACCATCATGATGAATGATTGATCCCAAATAACGAAAGTGGTTACTTTTATGTATTTCTTGGGCATCAACATGTACTAAATGCTCTTTTCTATTTTTAGTTTTACTAAATATGCATTCCATGTATTCTGTTTTGTTCTACTATTTCTAAAACATTTAGTTTCAAGGGTTGTCTCCACCTTTCTACTCTAGTATTGCCAATTAATAGTATATCATTAGCAAATAACATACGCTGTTATGGGACTTCATTTTGAATATGCCTAGTAAGTTGGTTTATAACTAATGCAAAAAGATAAGGGCTTAAGGCTGACCCTTGATGTAAACCAATGATAATAAGATTCTTGGTGCAAATTTACTCAAAAAAAAAATTAAAATAAAAAAGCCACACTTCACCATGTTAAGAGAGTACCCAGTAGGATAGGAGGGGGTCAATCCCATTAAGCAGAATTCCAAATGTCCAACTTTCTCCTTCCCATAGTTCCCTTTCTCGTATAATTGAAAAAGGATAAGCCAAATCACCCCATATTACTACCATATCAATGGCATTCAGAGATATAACTCTTCCTTTCGAATCTAAAACCACCATTACTGGATCATCGTGAAAATGCCACACTTCACGAATAAATTTCAACACTGAAAAGCTGAGCAATGAAGGTTTATATACGGAAGACCATGGCCATATGTCAATTATATTATTAAATGACACCTCTTCAACTTCTGACCAAGGAATGCAGTTTGCAATTGGAATCCAAACAATCTCGTAGAGGTTTTCTGGCTTATTATTTGGGTGGTTTTGCAGCTGTTGCACAATAAGGAGAAATTGTTCTAGTTGTATCACCGGGTGGGAGATGAAAAATATAACCTCCTTATTTCTCAACTCTGTTACGCCAACCTACACACCACAACCAAAATTCAATTCACAAGAGAAAAGGAATTTTGTGTTATCATATAGAAAAAGTAAGTGAATTACATGTTTAAATAACAGTCAACTTACCAATAACATGATGATGTAATACATAATAGTGAATTTGTAAAACTATCATATATGTTCAGCAGTTTATACTGCAATTACAAATTTGATGTTTCAAATAATGATGGAACAAAACACACCTTTCTCTGTGAGGAACAATCCCAGAAAGGGTGTTCATTCTTAATAGCAAATAATGTGCTAAGGATTTTTTGATTATCTTCATGGGCCTCCTCAAACATGTGGAGAAGCTTTGAGTGCATCTTCTTTTCTTCCAAATCTACAAATAAGGATGCAATTCATATGTTAAACATCACCATATATGAATTATCAACAGGAGACGATCAGAAGATAAGAGTGGAGAAATGCCGTGAGTAGATTAGGCAACCACTGTAGACATGCAAGTAGTAAAAGTTAATTTCGGCTAATGAGAAATGCTTGATCAATGACTAACCAATTACTTTCTGCATCTTTGATGTAAATCGCAAGAGGAATGTACGTCAGATACATCACCGGAATAAAGCTGAAACAAATCAACTGAAATGTTTCCCAAACTTTGTGACATAACTGATTAGTAAATAACACACAACCTTTTAAAATTTTAACAAAATTTCTGATTAATAAATTTTAACTGGGTACATAAAACCAAATTCATATGGGTAGCATAGCAGTATTTTCTTATCAAAGATCACTCACCTAGGTTTTTCTATAATTTGATTTCAATTCAATCCTTGGCCTATACTCGCCGCAGAAACAAACGCCTTCCCAAAATTTAATATATAACTCCTTCGAACACTTTCCTTGCCTAGGTGAGTAGCTTATTTAGTACATAAGCATAACCATAATAGGTAACCTACCGACCAACAGACTAATCCACTTCCCAGTTATATGGAAAGACCTCGGATTTATAGTTGCTCAGTCAGAAATTTGGCACCAGCATAGAGCTAGTAGTAAAATTAAATTATTTTATGAATCATTTTCAACCTGATATTGTAGTATCATACCAAAAAATTAATGTATCCATCAAAATATGTCTAGGACTCTAGGTGTTGCTAATTCCATTATCATAATGAAAACTCTTTAAGTTAGCAAGTGAAGCTTGTAATTTGGCAGCAGTGTTGTGCGCGGTGGCCAAACCGATAGGGTGTCGAGAATAAATACCAATGCCAAAAGAAAAAGGCAAACAATCCAAAATAACGGCACAAACACAAACAAATGAATTTTACGTGGTTCGGCAAGTTGCCTACGTCCACGGGGCAAGAAGGGGATGGGTTTTCACTTATAGAGAAGGATAGTACAAATTGAGATTACAAAATCACTCAAACTCACCAATTAATCTCACAAACAAAGCTCTCAATCTCTCAAACAAAACCCTAACCAATAGCTCTAGAAAAGACTCTTTTAGTTGTGCACGTATGCGGTCGACCGCGACAGTCGACCAGCCAGAGTGCAGAAACACACCCTGTAGTCGTGCACGTTTGCGATCGACCGCGCCAACGCTCGCGGTCGATCGGAAAGCACCTAAATGCCTACCTGCTATATTTTTCCTGATCTTCTCCAATGTTTTCGCCAATTCTATAATTCTCCATCTCGATGAAGTTTTCCCAAAACTGAGCCGACACCAACCAAATCAAATGTCATATTTGTTGCGTTCAGTACGAAGTGAAACAAATCCACGATAATAGACTTAATCCACAACAAGTCAAGACCCAAACGAGAATTCGAACAGACTTCAAATGTCGATATCAACTCACCAAACCGGCTGCATCATAACTGACTGCCTACATATCCTTTTGCCCAAGGAATCAAGCCTCACGTAATTCACCAAATGGCCTCCAAAGACCCTCAATCAACAAGAAGAGCTTTCAACCATTTTCCAACATCACAAATAAATCTGCAACTGATAACTCTCCCAATGACCACAAAATAAATTGAACCAAACACCTCCACCTGAAATGAACCAACGGCCATAGCCAAATCTGAACTGTGTCCACCAACTACACTCGAATCAACAAACTCATCATCTGCATCTACATCAATATGATCTCCACTCTGTGTCACCTTAGTTGGAATCCCAAAAGATGCAGAATGATCTTGAGAACGTGGAGTAATCTCCACCCAACATGGACTAGTATCACTCTCCACCCGTTGTGATATCTTAATGATCTGATCAACACTCTTCACCTGCCGAGGTCAAATGTGACATACCTGCTCAAAACAATATCAGAATCCAATATCTAATAACCAAACATGACTCTGAGTTCCAAATATGCATTCTGATCAAATTTCACATCCTGGATGTGATAATATGCTGGACGACCAAATATCCGAAGTAATCTAAAATCTGAAACAGCTCCACCAGATCCAAATACTCCAAACGCAGCAGTTGACAACCTATAAATAAGATGACTCTAATATATCAAAGTCTCAGGACCAGAACTCCTCTGCAAACCAATGCTCGACATCAAACACCGATCCTCCTCCAGTAAGGAACGACTCATCAAATTTGTCACCTAATCTCGTCGTCCTAATGTTTCCTCTCCAATGAAGTGTCTCAAACTGTCGTGAGCTCAGCACAAATACAGAAAAGAACCCCTACCAAAATCAGAATGATGTATTATCTTTCTGCCAATATACTTCTTCCACCTGTTGTTGACTATTAGAACTTCACACCAACGGGACTTAGTTGCAACCCACAAATGCCTAGAACAGTCACTAACACAGGAAACCAAATACCTATTACCTCCGAATGATGCCTTCTTAGAAGCCCCCAAATGTCTGAATGAACATCACCTAGAAGACCCTTCGCTCGTGAATAGAAGTGTCAGACTCCACCTCGATCTTCTTGCTCATACCAATGTGTTCACAGAACTTCAATCTACAGGTCAAAACACTCCTCAACAATCCATGCACGGCATCAACAATCAAATATTCCGGCATCAACAAACGCCCTTCATCACAATTATAGACCAAAATATGACCTTCAAAGATGCATCCTCTAAGGTCACTCGATAGCATGTTGTCTTCAAAACTCTAAGTAAAATAATGTTCTTTTTTAACTGCGGAACGAACCTCACTTCATCCAACTCCCGAATCACCCTATCACACATCCTAATACGAACGGTACCGATACCACCAATAGGACATTCATGATCATTATCCATGAGCACGATATCCCCTCTTTTTAACTTCTTAAAGCTGAGGAACCAATCACTCCTAGGAAAAATATGGTAAGAAGCATCCGAATCCAACATCCACTCTGTAGAGTCGGTAACACAAACTGATAGTAGTGTAGGGTACGAATAGCCTGAAGAATCCGAATATGAATTGTCGCCACTAGTCTTGACAACATTCACCTCTGAAGCTTGAATAGCTTTTCCCTTATTATTCCTGGCTTGATCTGTCAATTTTGAGCATTTAGCTTTCTAATGTTCATCTTCTTTACAAAAGACACTGATTCCTACTAACAATAGAATGTGCTCCTTAGATTACGACCTTCTACTTCGGTTTGGACTCTTTTCTCTTGCGACCAATGCCTCCGTTACTGTATCAATCGAAGTCTCCTTATCTTTTTTCCGAAGTTGATAATTCACAAATGTAGCGGTGATCTCACTATACGAAAGAAATATCTTCCCATTAATAAGAGTAAGAATGAATATCTCATATTCCTCGTCGGGCAAGTAACTCAATAATAACAAAGTATTGTTCTCATCTTCAATTATAACATCTACATTTGTCAAATCCGTAAGAAGCTTCGTATAGTTGTTCATGTGATCACCAATTGAGGTTCCCTTCTTCAATTAGAAGCGATAAAATCACCTCTTCAAATGCAAACAGTTTTCCACACTCTTTGTCAAATACTAGCTCTCTAGGATCTCCCAAATCTTCTTTGTCAAAGTTTTATTGATCACATCATATTTCAAATCTTATGTTAGGTAAGACCTAATCACACCACATGCATTTGATTCATCTTTTTCCAAACATTTTTCTCAATGTCGTCCTGTTTTCCGTCCAACTCCAAAGTATCATTTAAATTTTGCTTGTTGAGCACATCCAAGACTTCACATCTCCAAAGACCAAATTGTTAGTGTCATTAAATTTCTTCACATCTATCTATATAGAGTGAATATTCAAACTTTAAACGGTTTTCACGCCAGAAGTATCCTCCACAACTCCTTTCTCGGTCATCTTTCTCAAAGCACTAACAAACCAATGCGAAACAACTGAAGAATATATCCAAACTAAAAAATAGATATTTTTACCTCTAACTGAAATCCTAATAAGAGCCTCCGAAAGATCTCACCCCCACACGACGGAAGACAAGATCCACAATAGTAAAAATCTCACATTTATCTCCAATTAAAACCGTAGACGAGCTTTCAAAACGATCTACTCCTCCACCTAATTCCAAACGTAGCCTGAAACTCTAATACCACTCGTTGTGCAAGGTGGCCAAACCGATAGGGTGCCAAGAATAAATACCAATGCCAAGAAAGAAAGCCAAACAATCCAAAATAACGGCACAAACACAAACAAACGAATTTTACGTGATTCAGCAAGTTGGCTACATCCACGGGGCAAGAAGGGGATGAGTTTCACTTATAAAGAAGAAGAGTACAAATTAAGATTACAAAATCACTCAAACTCACCAATAATCTCACAAATAAAGCTCTCAATCTCTCAAACAAAGCCCTAACCAATAGCTCCAGAAAAGGTTCTTTTCTGTGCTCTAAATATCCCCAATACTGCTCTCCCTAAAAAACCCTAAAATGTGTTTTAATATATATATCAAAACACAAACCAAATCAGAACAGAAAACCGCAATCAAGTTCAAACCCGACTGGCGGTCAACCGTCGAAATCGCCGCGGTCGACCGACCAGAAAGACAGTAACCAAAATCAATTACAGAGTTTTGGCGAACGATCGGCCAGAGTGCAGAAACACACCCTGTAATCGTGCACATTTGCGGTCGACCACGCCAAAGCTCGCAGTCGACCGAAAAGCACCCAAATGTCTATTTGCTCCATTCTTCCTGATCTTCTCTAATGTTTTCGCCAATTCTACAAGTAGGACTGTATTGTCCTCACTCATATTTTATTGCGGCTGATATAAACCTTGGTCAATTACAAGCTTGAGCTGATAAGAGTACAGCGAGATAAAGGCATGCAGATACTAATTAATGTATTCTATTCATAAAAAATCATATGTGTGTGTGTGTGTATGTGTGTGTGTGTGCGCGCTACATTTGTTTAGCTCCAAAATTTGTGAGGCACGCATCAAATCAACGTATGTGCTTAACAACATAGGCCCATAGACTGAGCAGTTTGCAAAGTCTTAAAGCTGCAAGCATAAGTCTCTTCTCTTGTATTAAGAAACTCATCTCCAAACCTTTATCTTTGCAGTAGAATATCTCAAGCTTTATATAGTTGCAGAATCTGTGAATCAAATTTTAGCAAATTAGGGGCTTTCTACTATTAGTCCCTCAAGTTAGGCAAAGTATCACACCAGTACCTCAAATCTTGATCTTTTATATTGAACACTCAAATCATTTGATTTACTTCTCTCCAGTTAGATAAGAGATAAATAATGTAAGGAATCTCTCCCCCAAATCAACATTTGCAATGGTATTCTTCTGTTTTTAGCTCTATTTAGATATTGTTTTATTTGACTAATACTGTAACTTCTTACAACATCCACCATTCCCCCTTCCCCCCATTGAGTAGGAAATAGAGAAGATAGGTAGCCGTTGAAACCAATCATATTCGGGAAAATGACTCTATCATCATTCTCAATTAGCGGTAATGGAATATTCTAGTAAACAGCAAGTTAATGTTACTGGAGTTAGTAATCTGGTGTAAGTTGGTTTATTCAAGGGACTAATATGAACATATAAAGATTAGGGTGATTAACATTTAAAACAACCTTATTTGAGGCCTTAATGTAAGAAAGCTACAAAAAAGTGTGCTGAAGCTTGAAGATGTCCGGTTTCCAGCAAAAACAACAAAAGAGATAAGGCCATTGTGTATAAACTACCTGCTATTTCATAGAAATTGTCAATCTGCTTCTGTAAGCAATGATGAATATCATTTATCTTAAGAGCCCAACTCCACAGTTCCCATTTTGCACTTGCTAAAATTGAGTACCTGAAAAAATTAGTTCAACTGTCACAAGATATTCAAGTTAAAGAACCATCAACTTGTAAAGGCAAGGGGTTGATGGCAGAAT